ATGGTGTATGGTGCGTTTTAGAATAATATATACTTGTTAAATATTATTATTAACTTGCCAGCATGTTATTCATGCCAACGTAGGTTTGATGAGGCCTTAATCCACCATACCAACAATATGAATATTAAAAATTGTTTAAGTGTTTCAAAGGAATGGGAATTGTCTATCCATCAATTATTTTCATTTCCATGGTCACATACAGTCCATATATATATATATATATATATATATATATATATATATATATAATATGTATAAATACTTGTAATCACGCGTTAAATTTCGAATCTATAACTACCATCCATTTGTCACCAGAGAAGCCATTCACTCTTGATCTGATATTTTTCAGTGAGACGATTAGTCAGAATCATATAAGGTACCTAGTACGTACCATCCTAAAGTCAATATTGTGTGTGTGTGTGTGTGGTAATTCATCAATATTGATTAATTACTTCATTAATTAGGTTTTGAGCCAATAAAGCTGTTTCTCTAATTGGATGGGTTTTGAGTTTACATGGAGATCAAGAAGGTTTGTGAGAGCTAATCATATTAATTAATACATTACTTTGATTTCTTATAGCTAAGAGTGATTAAGAGGACTCTCCAAGTAATTAGAACCACAAGAATTCTACTTACCAAACTTGTCAATTCTATGATATGATATCAAATACAAGATAACCATATACTTAATACTGTCATTACATGGAAATGCTTATTGTCAATATCTTTGAGTTAACCACACCTAAAAAAGTAGTGTATACGTGTCGGTTTCAGAGCTCTCAATCCACTAGTAATTTTTTTTTCTGGGGGAAGTCATTAGTAAATTCATTTGCAATGATGATTATACCGAGGTTAATTCAGATCAAATATGACCTCATGTAGCACCAAAATGACATGAAGATTATGACCGCGTGTATATGACCTTTCTCAGACTCTGTAATGACGAAAGTCTCATTCACTTAGCTAACCCCTTGTTTTTTTTCAACACCCACACATCTATAATAATTCTCTGATGTTCTCTGTGCCTTGTCCTCTTATGCTTTTCTGCACCATATGGTAAACCACTTCATCAACCTATAGGATCATAATCATCCAAAAACCTTTCTTTTCAAATAAATTCATTACCTCATGAAACACTAACCTAGAGTTTTAAGCATTTGAAATGATTATACAGAGTTTTAAGCATTTGAAATGATTATACTGAGGTTTAGTTCAAATCAAATGTGACCTCATGTAACACCAAAACGACATGAAGATATGACTGTGTGTATCTGACCTTTCTCAGACTCTGCAATGACGGAAGTCTCATTCAATGGAATAACCCTTTTTTTTAGCACCAAGACATCTATAATAATTCTCTGTTGTTCTCTTTGCCTTGTCGTCTTATGTTTTTTTGCACTATTTAGTAAACCTCTTCATCAACCTAGGATCATAATCACCCAAACCTTCATTTTCATGTAAATTCATTACCTAATGAAACACTAATCTAGAGTTTGAAGCAGTTGAAATAATTATACTGAAGTTTAGTTCAAAACCTTATGTAGCACCGAAACTACAAGAAGCATTTGAAATAATTATACTGAGGTTTAGTTCAAATCAAATATGACCTTATGTAGCACCGAAACTACAAGAAGATATGGCTACGTGTATCTGGCCTTTTTCAGACTCTGCAATGACAGAAGCCTCATTCACTTGGCTAGCCCTTTTTTTTTTTCAACACCGCGACAGCTATAATAATTCTATGTACGTTGTTCTCTTTGCACCTTGTCCTTTTATGTTTTTCTGCACCAAATAGTAAACCTCTTCATCAACCAAGGATCATCATCATCCAAAAACCTTCCTCTTCATGTACCTATGACAATCATCTTCTACAAGTGAGGTCTTAAAAATAAATAAAAAAAAAAAAAAAAAATAGACTCTATATTGTGACTTTGTTTCTGCTACAAATTTGGGTATTGCAAATTATGAGATGTAATCATTAAATGGGTGTATGACTAAGTAATGTTATTTCAAGAAAGTCACATTTTCCCATGATAATGAGAAATGTTACTATTTTCCTCTTGTTAGACAATTTTGAAATTCAACCTGCCACTTATTTTCCTATGCCCCAAACAGAAAATAGTGGGAGAATTTGTGGAAACCGTTCTCCGGATAATACTTTTTTCTGTTGACTGAATTGGGTGTGAAAAATGATTCAGGCATGCATTTCAGCAAATAGACTTTTGAATTTCGGTTCCTCACTTCCACAACCTGTCTTCGGAAAATAAAAAATATCATTTCGGAACAAACAAGTCCACAATGCAGAGGGTAAATTGAAGCCACTCATTAGGGCCAAAGCCATTATAAGGTCTCGAGTGGCAATGAGTGCTTCTTTGATTGAATCTGGACTCTGGGGACAATAATGGCATGCCGGGGCGTCCCCATTAACGAATAGGACAACTTATTTTCTCATACATGTCCTCTGATACATCTCTCTCAATTCTGTGATCGTACAAATCGGCCATTTATATTGCTGAGTGATGTAATTCAAACAAATTCGTAATTTGAACTGTTTAAACTTTTGAAGAACAGGTCAAATGTAGTACTAGTTTTCTAAATTATACACTCAAATTCATTTGATCACTGTCATCATCATCATAATCAGAACTTGACAGTAATTCAACTGTGTTTGCATACTTATTTTCTCGACTGGTTTGATTCCCACTCAATCCAGACATGCATAACGTGTCGTTAGCAGATTGCATGATGCTTGATCTTTTTTGAATCACTAGTCATATGTAACGCGCCAAAATGTATTAAACAGATTATTATATACGGTTGAACATTATTAGTGTCACTCGAGGAGCCAAGAGAAAAATATTTTTATATTACAGATTGACTCCGGAAAGTCTATGTTCAAGCTAGTCATGTTAGTCCTTTTTGTTCCTTCAACCATTCAGACCAACCTAGCCAGCTGATTCGTCACATTAGCTGTTCATATTAGTGTCAGTTGACTCATTACAGCTAGTCTTTGCTGATCTATAGAAAGCTTACCTTTAATTATAATATATATATATATATATATATATATATATATATATATATATATATATGGCAGCATGCATATACAGAGCAAAAATATACAAAACAGCTGCAAGAACAGAATTAAGTGATAGAGTAACATATAGAGGAATGTCCCATTCTGACAAAACCCACCGAATAGTAGGGGAATCGGCAACACTCTTAAGGGTAGGCATTCTGCGTCTAATGGAATCAATGACTTAATTTCTTCTGGATAGAGGTTGCATCAGTATAGTGTTTTTGTTCGGTACACTTTTGATGCAAGAATCAACCTGTTAAAAGCTGGTTTCGAAAGCCCCTCCCTTTAAAGTTATTTGGTAGCTGATGAGAGAATAAGTTCGATCGCCACCGTATTGTTTAAGGGTCCGTTTGGCATGCGCTTTATTTGAAGCGTTTTGTTTTTTTGTAAAAACAGAAACAGTATTTTCGCTATATGAGTGTTTTGAAAAAAAAATAGGAAGCACGTTTGGGAACGATGTTTTATTATGAAAATGTCGAAAACAAAAGCATGCAAAATATGGTTTTGGGTTATGAATAGTTGTTAAAATAAGAAAAAATAACTTTTTGGTGTTTTCGTTTTGGCCAATGTTCACGAAGTGTTTTAACACTACGTAAAATAAAATAAGGTCGCATTAAACATATTTTTGTTGCCAAAATCAACACTGTAGCAATCAAAAAATAAAAACAATATAAACAAAACGTATACTAAACGGACCAGTATAAGGGCACCAAAGTAAAGGTGATCCGGGGCTTAAACATTGTTTCTGCACACAAAAGACATGGACTGACAGAACAATGCCCATTTTTTTATAAGGAGTCTCTGTCCTCAGACAGCAATTAGGCCATAAGATGAAAGAATACTTTCGGACTCTTTCTTTTAGCCCAAATGGCTTTAGCCCAATTGGCCTATGGTAAAAAAACTCAACACATAGCTCCCTAAGACATGTACGTTGGGCTTGTTTACTTCAATTACGTATCCGAATATATTAACACTGTCTAATACTTTTTAAATTTATTCATAATATTAAATTATATTATTAAAGTTTTAACACTTATTCATACTTCTCACATATTTCAATCACGTATCCGATACTTTTCAGATATTTTGACCATATATTCGATACTTTTTAGATACTTCAAAATACATTTTAACAAGTTTTGAACTTAAAATGTAACATTTTTAATAATAATATTATAATATAATAATTGTTAAGAAAAGTTCAAAATATATAATTAGGGATACTTATTTTATTTTTTGTCAAACGAATGATTAAATTTAGATTCATAATATTTTAAAAATTTGACAAAAAATTAATTATATATATATATATATATATATATATATATATAATTTATTATTATTTTTATTCCCATATGATCCATATTTTATCATTACTCAAACATTTTATTTGAGATTTATTATATTTTAGTGCGTAGACATATCAAGTTATTAGCATGCTTAACGAATGAAAATATATCATTTTATGAAATTGTTCCCATCTATTTTTTAAAACCACTTTTAACTAATTGCTAAGATAATTTTTATTAGTTGGACATATCAAGTCGTTAGTATGCCCCGCACACGCACCATATCAATATTGTACCCACCTAATGACAATGCATTATCTCACAAAAAAAAAGAAAAAAGAAAAAAAAGAAGAGGTTATCACACCGACTAATAAATTGTTGATTAGGCAATAATATGTTAGGTATCATTTGTTTGGTACACTTATAACATGAGGTTGGGACACCTAATAAATATTACTAGCACACTTAGTATCTACTCGTTGGGACAAGGATCCTTTTCGAAGCAGTAATCCCTACTCGCTACTTAGGAGCTAACGTCCAAAACTAACAAATGGACGGTCAAGATCCAATCGACAGACACACATCTTAAACGACGAGCCATCGCCTTATCCATGCACTACAATTCTACAAAACCCCTTTCAAAGCCCACTTCAAGCACCTACTTCTTTCCCTCTCAAAACGTTCAATGAAAATGCTGAAATCCCATATATTACACACCCAAACTCTCTCTCCTCTATTTCCAATCCTTCAAATGCACCCCAACATCTCATTCCCTCGCAGAACCATCACAGTCTCCAACACCCACTCCCTCAGACCTCTCCATCGTTCCATGCCTCTTCTATGCCGTCCAAACCCTAATTTCCAGGTTTTGTGTTTCATATTACACTAAGACTTATATATCTATGTGTCTGTGCGTTTTATTTGACTTTTTGCTGGTTGTGTGGTTCGATTTTGTGATAGGTTGTTCAAGGTTCGATGGAAGAGGGTAGGTTTTTGGAAGTTGAGGAAGCTGAATTATTAATGGAGACCTGCATTACGCGTACTCTGCCTCCGGCATTGACGCTCCACCACGGAATTGGAAAGATTACGGAGGCTGTTGAGGAGTTGAAGCTGAATCCTCCTCGTTCTGCCAGTGGAATGTATCGGTTTCAGGTATATATCGACAGTTTCGCATTTGTTAAGAAAGAATTGAATTGGGTTAAAATGTTGAAGTTCGGAAGTGCATTGTGTATGTATATTTGTTGTTTGTTCTCACTGAAATGGTTAGTTAGTGCCACAGTGGCATAATGAATTACCGTTTATCTATCTTGGTTTTTGGCGAGTTATGCAATCGGATTGTGAATTTGCAGGTTGCTGTGCCCCCTAGTGCAAAAGCTTTGAATTGGTTTTGTTGTCAACCTGAATCATCGGGAGTGTTTCCACATTTTTTTCTTTCAAAGGAGAAGGAAATCCCAACACTTAGATCTCTTTATTTGAATGGAACCCGTGGCATTTTTGGAATTGGAGCTGCGGCGTACTTTCAGGGGTCTTCTCGTGCTTTAGAAGATTTGAGTTCATCTAAAAGGCTAGTTTCATCCCATTCTGTTTGTGGCTTACTATTTTGATACTAACTGTTTTTGGCGGGAATGGTCAATATATAAGCTTTCATGAGGGATGGATTAAATTTGTCTATTGTTTGCAATGTGATTTAAATTCTTTATGATGTTTAAATTTTTTTTACTATATCTAGAATCTATATCTCACAAGAAAGGTTGAATCAGACATGAGTGTGTAGATAAAAGAGGTGTGGGTGACATAAGTAAGGGATAAGAATCAGATTTAATTAAATTGGCTGAGATGATTCGATCATGCATAATGAGGGACATGGATTGAAATTTTAGAAGGTTTTATGTGGTTTATGCGTAAAGGGTTGCAAGGAGGAAGAGAGAATCATAAAGGACATGAGTTTTCAAATTGTGCAAGATGTTATTACAACTTATTAATAAGCTGAAGTATGGCCTTAGATGGAGTGCATTAGTGAAATGGTATTATTATATGGTAAACTGTGATTTGTTGCAGCAAAGCTTTGTGACGCTGAGTTGCATGCATGTCATGAGTAGTGGAGGCCTTAGCTAGATTTATATAAACAGCAGACAGGCTGTCTTGTATTGTTATCTTAATTGCGATGCATTTGACTATTGTTACTTCTATATGTTAATTGCGATGCATTTGACTTTGTGACGCTAAAAATTGGTGTTCATGTATGTAAACGTTTCATGCATTATATTTCTGCACTCTATTTATTTTCACTTGCTTAGCGTGTTTGTTGAAATTTGACAATTGGCTAAAACGAGTTTAAATTTAAAATTTCTGTTAAAAGTGGTTCAATAGATTTCAAAGACCTAACCATCCTCCATCTAGGTGTAATTCGGTCTTTGCGTACACCGACTATCAAAGCATACGGTTACAATATGATTCTTTATTAATTATCCATTCTTCTTTAGCACTAAGTTGAGTTGACAGAGTTCCAGTTTTGTACCACTTCCTATGTGCTTTCTTAGTTGTGTGTGTGTGTTGATGCATTTATATGCATGGTTTGGAGGCATACCGAAGCTTGGGATATTTTTGAGTCTTCCACTCCTGAATTTCTGCTCTTGCTGTTACTTCTCCTCTTGCTCCCCAGTATATATACTCAGGTACATTGATACGTATATGAGGCTTGGTTAGGCTATATTGTCTGATGTTGCCTGGACAGTCTGCATATACTATCTGTGCTCCAACTTAAATTGTCTTTGCATTTTCCACTGCAGCACTTCCACTCTTGTGTCCGATCTCTTTTTTCTCCATAGTTTATGCATCCAGCTTCATGGATGGCGTATAAGGGCTTTGATGTTAGGTCTTATTGGAACCTCTTCCGTTTCGTAATGATCAATGTTCTTTACCCTTGGATTCTGAACTTGCTTACTTGAAGGCCAACATTTTCAAATGTTTGGAACAGCTGCAGGAATGTGCTAGAAGGATACTCTCTCACAAAATTAAATTACAAATCACAACCAGAAGGTAGATTTTCAAGTTTCGAAACAGCAATTTCATATGAATATATGGGCCATAGCACTGACAATATCCTCTTTCAAGTTTTTTAGGGGACTCAAACGAAATCCTGCACCCACAATACTTGTAGTGCTAGGCAATGTTAAGTAGTGGTCAAAGGGAATGCTTTTGACAAAGTTTCCTAATAAGATCTAAAAGCTGAAGCCATTATCTCTTTTCAAATGTATCTTTTGTTGTCCATGCATTGAGGATTGTATTATGTTGAAAGTGCAATATTTATGATACACTGAACCCAATTTACAATCCAATTACTGTGGATATGGGCTTGTGTGCTAGAATGCTGCTTTATTACTCCAAGCTAAATGAATATATAAACCTATTGGAAGGTGTGTACCATGAACATGGTAGGATCTTCATCTTTTACTTTAACACGGTTTATGATTTTGTGCAAATTAGCTAAAAAATGTTTCTATGGTTTTTCTGCAGATATCTCTCAGTTGATTTAACTCTTGTAATGGCTTATGGTTTTATGGATATTATTTTTGACACAAAGTCATCTTCCATGAAGCACGAAACTGGTTCATATTTCCTTTTTATTCCTCAGGTAAACTTGCATTTTTTTTCATGTTTATTCTTGCCCTTTGTTGTGTTTGCTTCTTCCATTCCATGTTTATGATCATCCTGTGTTGATTAGTTGATTTAATGGTTTTGCTGTTCTTTTTGGTATGTATGATTTTTTTTAAGCAAGGAGTTGTGGTGTAAGGCTTTGTTGAGTTTCGTTTTAGCTTGTCTTTATGCTTTACTGGAGACATGCACTGCACATGTGTATACTTTTGAAACGAAAATATTATTTTGACAGATTGAGTTAGATGAGTTTGAAGATATTTCTATTTTAGCTGCAACACTGGCATGGATTGACTCTTCCCTCTGTACGTTTGAAAGTGCCGTTGAATCTTACCATATATCTCTCTCCCAGGTACTTCGAGGTTCTAATTTCTTACCTGCCAATGTCTTGCTTTCCAATTTTTCTCTTTGGTTTGCATATCATATAGGATATGAGACTGGAGATTCTGGTATTTCAGAATGCAGTATTTGTCCTGAATTAAATTTTTTGGAATATAAAGAAAAAATAGGGGGCAAATCAACATTCGCCTCAAAATTGTTATATATTCGATCTGCTGGGAACATTTTGTATTGTTTGAATAATTGCCAATATTTTTAGTTGCAAGAATTCCTTGTCTTATCTCTAAAATTTGTTTTTTCAAGCTAATATTTGGATTCTGACAATTCTATACGAAGAATGTTCAAATGTCTTTAAAGTTCTGCTAAATGTGTAAACATTATGGGTGATCCAAATGTATTCTGGAAGCGAAGTTTTAATCTTTTCCCGCCCATACTCTTTTTTGTTCTTTATTTTTATATATTTTTGTCTCTAAGCTACAGAAATTCCAGAAAAAAGAAAATAAAGCAAACAAAACTGTGTATTCTGTAATTTTATCCTATTTAATTGATTTAATTTTATATTCAAAGATGTGGCTATGGTATTTTTAATTTCTCTTTTGTTCTGCTATGTTAATGTGGACTTTCAAAAAATGCGCAAAGTACCTATTAGATATGGCTATGAGATATGTGTCTCGACACTTCGATTGCCATAAATTCAGTAATTCAAATTATTATGTAATTTTACATAAAGTTCACTTCATGTTTCTCGTTTCTTCATGTTCCTTGGATTTGATAAGGTAATGTTGAGACATATTTACCTGAGTCCATGTAATGTAGTTGTTTTGTGCACTCGTCATACCGTACCTTTTCTTCTCAGGTTAAGCGTAATTTTTGGAACAACACAGAGAAGTGCCACAATAAGTGCATCAGATCTGCTCTCAAAAAGTTCAATGTAGTAGAGGATGAAAAGTCCCAAATGGTATAAATCAACTCTTAAACTCGTACTCTAAAGTGATTTATATGTCCAAATTCTTTTTGGTTGCCTGGATTTCTTTCACCTCTTTTGTCTGTTTTTTTTCTTTGAATATTTCATACTTTTCTTATCCTTACAATAGCCATAGTTTGATTAGGTTGCTTTATAACTTCATTTTGGTAAATTTGCCTTTGTATCTCACATTCATGTAACGGAATTGAGTTGAAGTGACTAGAAGAGATAGGGTCACTAATGAAAGTGTGAGGGAAAAATTAGGATTGTCGTTCATTTGTGACTAGATAAGAGAAAATAGACTTGGGTAGTATGGACATAGACACAGAGGACCTATAGATGCACCAGTAAGAAGATGAAGACTAATTTGCATAGAATGTAAGAGATAGAGGGTGACCAAATTTAACATGGGATGAAATTATTAGAAATGATTTTAAAAAGTTGAGTAATAAGTGAGATGATATGTAATAGAAAAGAATGGAGAAAGAGAATTCATGTGGCCGACTCTGTTCATATGGGATTAAGGTAAGGATGATGATGATGTTAATTTGTTGTTTGCAGGGTCGGCGCCACATTCACTTGTTATATACTGTTGTCTGGTTCGGCACTAAATTGACTTTCAAATTGGATGTTTTATAGTGGTTGGAAGACTTAATCCAACGATACTACTGTAATGCATTTGAGAGCTCCTGAAATTTGAGACTAGTTGGAATTTTGTTAGGAATATCAGTTCATTTATGTGTTCACTCTTTCATGTTCTGTCATTGAGCGGCATGATTTTGTAGGTGTGTATTAATGCTTTCTCACTGGGTGGAAGGGACCTTGAGGCTGACTCTTTCAAACTGGTATTGCCTTATCCTGGTAATAATTCATCCTTCAAAAATTTAACTTCTAGTTTCTCTTTAATATGGAGCTCCTTATGAGTTTTGCGAAAGCTTGATGTGAAATTCTTTGAAAGCTGACTGTTGATAATGCCTGCTTTTCCTGTAGAAAGAGGCTTCAATTTCCTGTCAGTTCTTTGTCAGGCTTTCGCCTACAATGGCTATTGCCAATAGCATGGTATGGAAATTCTTATGTTAGTAACCTAAAGATTATATATTCTGATATGTTTTTCTTAATATAACTACATGATATTAGGATTAGACTACATAGCAAATTTATGTTCTTAATAGCATTCCTGTGTGCATTCTCTTTAGCACCATTGCTATATGTAGCAAAGAAAGTCTGTATGAGCAGCAATCATAGTTACAATTTCTCGTAGCAAAAGCACTACCAACAGGTATAATGCATTTTCCCTTATTTGCTATATAAAAATGGTCAAGTTTTTGCACACTATTTCTCCTTTGTGCATGGCACTGTTCTTCTTGAATTACACAACTCACTTCGAAGAGCATGGAGAAACTTTGCACATCTTTGATATGTCCTTTATTTGAATTGATTTTCCCTTTATTACCTATGGATCTTTAAGATCTGTTCTAAATTTGGGTGCTTTAGCCCTTAAAATTATTGTCCAAGTTGGCTCCTTTTGTGGATGGTATGCTATGTTTTCCTCACATGGTTCCTGTGGGTCTTGTGTTCATAATGTTTGCAAAATTATTTGGTTGCCTTTAGTTAAGTTCATGAGAAGGTGGCATATTGCCTTTCTGTTCTCATCTAGTCCCTTGTCCATCTAATTAGAGGACATGTTTTTTTTGCTTCACTGCATAGTTATTACCCAATCATTGGTTCATTGATATATTCTAACGATTTCATAGTTTGTCCATCAACAGCTGTACCCACCCTTTTTTATATTGGTTAGGCTTCAACACTCATCAAGAGTATTCTAAATGCAGTATATAATTATATTTTTCACTTATTACATCGAAATCCACACTTTCTGTCATGATCACGCTTATTTCTGCTCGTATGTACAAATGAATTCTATGAATAATGAAATGGATATTTTTTTTGATTGTTAGCAATAAAAATCATCTCCTTAACTCCACACCTTCTTTTTAGATGCAATGCCAGTACCTTTCCATTCTACCACAACAGCTTAAGCAAAATTGCTTAAATTTTTTTAGGAATCATTATTTGATTTGTCTTTTTCTTCCCAAGGACAAGTAAAACCTTTTATAAAAAGTGTACATCTTCTAATATAACTCTAAGAGTCTAGAGAAATCATGTATCTCTTCTATTACAATTCAAGAGAAATCACTGGGACCTATATGGTTTGGTAATCCTTCTTTTTACTATTATTTGACATCAAAGTTATAAAATGTTATTCGTGTAACCTCCAAGAATCCTCTGCAGTTGCTTTCATTGTGAGTAGATGGGTGAGGACCTGCTTTAGCTCAATAAGGAGTCAAATTATTGAACTTAAGTTGTAGTCTACCCATACAGTGGTCAATCATTAACCATTGTTATCTTCGATACTTGATCAGAACTTAAAGCTTTTCTTATATTAGTAACCTTTGCCTGTATTTATTTATGTAAATATATATTATTTTATCAAAGATGAAAAATTGTAAATGGGGATGAAGGTAAATCTTTAGAAGTGGTGGAAGTCATCTCTCAGATAACAAAGAGAAAAGAACAAGGAAAAAAAACAGAAAATGGTAAAGTAAAGCAAATTAAGCTGGGAATCATTGCACTAAGAACCGGTCTAATGAAGTCATAAAAAGAGGTGTTGGTCCCAGCTTCCATCATTTCTCATAAAACCAATTGGTGTTAAGGAGGGCTTCAGCTTTGTACTTAAACTTCTGTTCATGGCGGTCACTCCACTGTTAGCGGCTAGTCTGCAGACCTTACTAGGGTGGATTCCTTGGCTACACCAGCGAACAATCCTCCCTCCAAGGAACCACCCTTGGCGACTTGAACACGGGACCTTGGCTCTGATACCACTTGTTGGTCCCAGCTTCCACCATTTCTCCTAAAACCAATTGGTGTTAGGGAGGGCTTCAGCTTTGTACTTAAAACTTGCGTTCGTGTCGGTCAGTCCACTGTCGGCGGTTAATGCGCAGAGCTTACTAGGGTGGATTCCTTGGCTACACCACCCAACACAGAGGGAGATGGCGACCTCTATCAAATGACAGTGGAATATTGCCTTCTTTGTTAGCACACACTAATTTGATCTCCATTTAGGTGATCCTAGAAGTCAAAACTCAGAAGATACTTTGAAGGAGTGACGCAACTAGATCATTGATTTTTTCTCTCAAGGATGTGATAATATGATTGGTACAATACCTGCTCCTTTACACCGTGAGCAAAGAGGTCTGTCAACTGAAGCCAAATTAACCTTTGCAGATTTCCAGATTTTCGAGGTTGAAGGCATGGCTTGCCCGGCTGGGTATAAAATTTTGGATTGAATATCTTGGATCTAAATACTTTTGGTCTGATTTTTGTGTGTTGGTTTTGTATAATCAACTATGGCTTTATTTACTGGTTGTGATTGCGTTTACTCACATTTAATTTGGTTTGAGACAGTTTGTGAATCTAGGATAAAGACAAAGTTTAATCCTCTATTTCTTCTCTATGTTAATTATTAGTTCTTTTAGGATTTTAATTCCAAATTTATAGGATGGTTTTGAATTTGATTGCCCATGTTTCCCCTAGACCAGTAGCCATTTTGGATAGAGGTGAACAAATGGAGTGATTAGGTAATAGTGTGACGTCCCACATTGCCTTGGGGGGGTGGGGGGAGAAGTTGCTGGCATTTATAAGGGGGATGCCTTCTATACGTGTAGACGTGTTTTAAATCTGAGAGTACCAAGAGGGTGCAAAGCGGACAATATCTGCAGAGTGTGGGGCAGGTCCTGACAGATTCAGGACTTGCCACACAGTATGCAAATATTGTTGAAATAACTTACAAGTAGTTCAAGCAATTCTCTTCTAATCATCTGTAACAAATCCTTCATAATTGATTATATTTTTACCAAACTGCTGCTTTTTGTGTACCTGTGGTTTCATGATTAGTTAAATTTTAATGGTTGACAAGGAAAATGGTTTCTTCTTTAACCTGCCCTGCCCCTCCTTAAAAGATTGCCGCTTCCTATGAAAGTCCTTATTATGAGTGCCTTCTAGTTGCTTCTGGCCTCTGGTGATTTTTGTATATTATTTTAGAATGGAAAAAAATTGGGTTAGGCATTTTTACTTCATCTCTTTTCTGCTATCAGCTGGATGATGCCAATGATATGAGTTACTCTGTGCGAGACAGTGCCAACATCAATACTTTGTGGGCGTCACTTATAGTTGAAGAATGCTCTCGACTTGGTCTGACGGTGAGATTAAGTGTTGATGTTCCATTTTATCTCTTTGATGTACATGCATCTGATTTATTCTTCATCTAGTATTTTTGTGTAGCTCCAGGATCTAGATCATCTCCTCTTGCCATTGCTGCTTCTAGCCATCCCCTTACAACTTGTATTGTGTGCTTTGATGAGCGTTCACTTGCATATCATGCCGTTGGTTACGCAAGAGGTTCTCATAAGCCAGCAATAGTCATAACATCATCAGGCACTGCAGTTTCAAATCTTCTTCCTGCTGTGAGTTTTGTTTTTAATCCAGATTTATTTCTTACCTGCAAATGGAAGTTTAAAACCTGTGAACTCTTTGGATAATTTTTATGCCATCTTTATACATCTCTTTTAGGCGTAGCTAGACCTAAATCCAAGTTTTAGTTTGATCAATATAAATATATATTTGTATATGTATATATATATATATATATACATATATATAATTTTTAACATTAAACCGGGTCTGATTATCAGTTACTGTGGTAACCTTGTCTCATTCCGCTTATACTTTTGCTTTCCTATACGCCATTAATCTTAGTTTGTTCTCTAGTCTCGTCTCTTTGAGGAAACTTGCTCCTCCCTTTCGCATTTTATTTCTCCTTCGAAATTATATTCGTGGATAATCCAAACTTGCTTACGACATATTTTGCTCAGTTTTGATCAGTCATTGCAATTACTGTTAAGTGGTAATGTACAGGTTGTCGAGGCTAGTCAAGATTTTGTTCCACTTCTTTTACTTACAGCAGATCGTCCTCCAGAGCTACATGATACTGGAGCAAACCAAACAATTAATCAGGTACATTGATTTTTATGTCATTGTAAGTTACAATTACACTAGTTATTTGGTATATTATACTGTACTATAGGATAGAATGATTTGCATTTTGAGGCAAACGTTGCTTCAGATTTGATTTATTACTTAGAAATTTACTGAATTCCTTTATGGTTAATTTAAATGAGTACTAATTAAAAAACATTGAGAGAAAATTTGGTATTTAATGGGTACCATATGAGTAAAAGGTTCACATTAAGATTTAAACTGCTAATATATGATGAATTTTGAATCTAATGATCATTTTTAGCTGTCATGACATTGTTAAGTAATTCTAAAAAACAAGACAAAGTCCACTAAAGTTCTTATGAATATTGCGAATTGCATTGTGAATAAGCTGTTTGACATGCCAGGTGTATGTGATTAACAATCCTAAATTAAAAAACCTAGATAACCCTTGCTGATATTATATAATCTTCACATATTTCGTAGCTTTATATTTTAAAATTTTTGGTTTAAACTTTTAAGATTAAGGATTTTGGTTCAAATTTTAAAATTTCGGGTCATCGTCTTCTATGATTAGGTTTTTTGACATTTTCTGTTTATAGGGTCTAGGATTTGGACTTTAGCCTTTAGCATTAGGATTTCGTTGAGAAATTTATGTCAGACTTAAGACTGTAATTCCAAGCATAAAAAAGAAACATAAGTGTGAATTTATATTTTGTGCATCTTCAAACAATAAACTTTCCATTGAAGTTCTAAACTATAAATTGTGTTGTAATGACGATATTGCTCCAGTAATTACTTGTAACTAGTGTCCTCAATAGAACATTGAACTTTTTGTGTGATATTATATTTGGGGATTGCACTGGGATAGGTGCACTCCTAAATCCTTCTATGCCACCTTGATGTTATATTACTTTGATGGGGGCTCAAATGCCTACTGGAGTGGGGGCAAAAATAGGCTTCCAATTATTGGTTGCTCTATAAATAGGTATTTTTGTCGTCTAATTGTGCTTGAAGTTTTGAGTTAGGTTTGAAGGGAGGAAAATCAACCTACGGTATGAATGTATTCTAGACCTAGAGAGGGCTGAATAGGTCTTGTAAAATCTCAACTACCTGTAATCACTTTTTTTAAATTTATCAATTATAACACAAAATGGGTAGCTCCCGCTAGCCATAAAAGGTGAGTTGCTAATTCAAGAGGTGTCAGCTAAAATCATAAAAGGTTTTGGCTACAACTGGCCATAAAATGTGAGTTAGTAACCTTCAAATTCTATCTTCAGATTCCACCACTCCAAGCTAAATTTCAACCCTAACTAACTAGACTAAACTTTGAAAATAAACCAAGGAGAACTAAAATTACAAGCTGCGGCTTCTATCACAAAATTTTCCCAACACTAGGTCCTAATAACCTAACAAGGTTATTAGAACTTTAGGGTATTTACAATCTTTCTTCTTTCCATTGAATGTCATTGGTGTTGTGTGCTAGATTTGGACCTGTTATTTTGGTCAACAATTTTTCTGAACTTCTGTCTGCTGTTTTGGTAATGAAGGAATTTAAGATATAACTGACGGCTGTTTAGGAAATCTAGCTGTAGTTAAGGTAGTTTTATTGTAGACCTTAAAAGGTCTCTGCTACAACTGGCTATAGAAGGAAGGTTAGTAATTTAAGAGGGGAATTTACCATCATTATTTCTTAATCTCCAATTTCATTTGGTCTTTAAAATCCATGAATCGGAGGTAAGTTCTAACTCTAACTAACTAAACTAACTTTTGAAAATAACCTAAAAAATTAAAACTACACACTAAGGAAAATTTGCTAACACTAGGTCCTAATAAGGTTAGTGATCGTCAGTTGGTGTTTAGGTTTTTTACGCATCTTGATTCTTTTAATATAATGTCATTGGTGTGTTGTGCTAAATTTCGTCTGGGTATTTTTATCAACAAGTTATTTACAAATACAAATAAGAATCCAAAAGTAGGTAGTTTTAGATTGCTAATTTTTTGTTTGTTTTGTTTTGTTTTTTTTTTTTCTTTCTATCTTTCTTTATTTCTTTAATTTTTTTGGGTGCTTTTTCCTCCAAATTAAACGTGTTACGAAATCAAACAGAAAACACAAGAAAGAGATCAAACACACATACAACAAGAACATATAGATTTTACTTGGTTTACCCAAAATTCAGGGCTATATCCAAGGGTTGCAGGGATTTCACTATGATGATTAAAAACAGCAGTGGATACAGAGAGTTCCGAATGCATAAATACCCTTGCACTAGGGCAACATAACAAGTGCGGAAATTACCAAAATAACCCCCAAAAAAGTTGGATCCGCGGAGTTGGGCCTTGGTGTACAGTAACTATCAGGCTCCACACTACCCATCAAATGCAACTCTCCTGAGTAGAAGAGTTGTTTCTCATTGTTGGCCCTGAGTGATGTTGCTCTTATTTTTCAAGTAATTTACTAATTTGTAGAACCAACCTGCAAATATGGTCTGCATCTGGTTTTGGTCATCTCTAGTTGTGGTTTATAAAATTAAGAAATGAAGGGCCAAATGTAATAAGAGGAGAAGATTTTAATAATCTCACCTAATCACAGAGAATCAAAGAGGAGAAGATTCTAATAATCTCACCTGGAATCCCCAAGTCTTTATCCTTGATGGGTTGCGCAATTTCAATTGTTGGAGCTCATATCTCCATTGATATAAAAGATTAGCTTATGGAATTCTCTTCCTTCAAGGAGGATTAGGACTATAAAAATAGAAACTTCAAACTTGAACTAGTAAAACTATTTTTGAAATATTGAAAATAAAACTTATGGATCTAATAAAATGATTAGACCGAGTAAATTAGACCCATAGACCTCCAATGTAGCCCATGCTTGAAATGTTAAATTACCAAAGATACCCTTGATTTCTAAAATGTAATAGATCATTAATAAAATTGATCCACTGAAATAAGGGAACTTGGATTTCACTTAATCGAACACTTGATTACATGTGGTTCTAACATGTTATGAAATTCCCAGTTTGCCCTCTTTCTTTTGGCATGCTCTGAACAGTCTGGTTTTAAAATGGTGCCACTATGTGTTAAAGTAGATATAATTGTGAGTTACTGAAATTAATTTTGTGTTCCAGCGAATCACTTCTTTGAAATTTGTAATTTAGGTCAACCATTTTGGTTCATTTGTGAGGTTCTTTTATGGTCTACCTGCACCCACTGTTGATATTCCTGCCCGGATGGTACTTACAACAATTGACTCTGCTGTATATTGGGCAACCTCTTCACCTTATGGTCCTGTTCATATCAACTGTCCTTTTAGGGATCCATTAGACAATAGTCCAAGAAAATGGATGTTGAGCTGTTTAAAAGGACTAGACTTTTGGATGTCAAGTGCTGAACCATTTACGAATTATCTCCGATTGCAACATTCATATACATGTGATGATTCTCAATGTCAAATGGCAGAGGTTCTAAAAGTGATTCAAGAGGCGAATCGAGGGCTTTTACTTATTGGTGCAATCCATACAGAGGATGACATATGGGCAGCTCTTCTCCTGGCTAAACACCTTTCATGGCCAGTTGTAGCTGACATCTTGTCAGGCTTAAGTCTGAGGAAGTACTTTGCTTCGTTTTCGGAAATTGAAGAGAACTTTTTATTTGTTGATCATCTCGATCATTTTCTACTCTCAAATTCTGTCAGGAGTTGGGCCCAACCTGATGTGATTGTTCAGGTACACCTTTTTCTATGCTGTTATTATTATTATTGTTGTTGTTGTTATACTATGCTATTATTAGGGAAAAGGAAACGTCATGGTTGATCTGCTCAAATATTTTTTTTTAGTTTGTTTGTAACAGCCACAAAATTAATTAGAACACTGAATTCTTTCATTCTTTTTTCGGTGGACCTAAATGGTAACATAAAGAGGCTAACTGGTATATCGATAAAAGCTTTGGCTGCCAAGTGTGAGAATGCAGGTTTGAGTATGGGACAGACACTTCGTGCAAAAAACTTTGGACCCCTCCCAAAACCCTACATTTTTATTTATTTATTTTTATTGGGTGATAGATTTTTTCCCCACCTAAAAGGTGGCATAGATAACCAATTTGGAAAAAAAATGTGATACTAAGAGGTCCACTTTAAGTTGTGTAGTTCATAATGTTCATGATATGGTTAACTGGTGCTTTAAATTCGTTGAGACCAAAATGGTTGGTGGAAGCAAGAAATAACATGGATAACTGGAGCAAGAACAAAGACATGAAGTGCAAAAACAACTTGGACTTGAAACCGAAGACCTGGGGACGCTTATCAGAAAGTTTCACACAAATAATGGGATTTTTTAAAAATTCCTCCAAATACCATTATAAAAATTTTAGAGAAATAATTAATGCTATCTATAGGAACATAAAAAGAAACCAAGACTTAATTACGAATGGACTGTTTTAACAATTAGCTGCTCTACAAGTTTAAGCTATCAAAAAAGTGTTAAATTATTTTAACTCATCAACATGCCCTTCAATGTTTGTCCAAACACTTGTATGTATTATAACTATCAAGTAGGTGGTAAGATTTGAGCAAGAAACCTTGCCTGCCCTGATACCATATGGACAATCAGCTACCTAAAAGCCTATGCTCTCAAAGAGGATACAACATATTTATTTAACTCATCAAATCATTTGCTAATCAGTTGCTCAGTACTTCCTCGAACTGTTTTATGAAAGCATTTTGTGTGCATATTTGGCACATTCTGTTTTCATATTTTCTGAAGCAATTCCTGCATTTCTGAAACATTTCCCTTAAATTCCCAAATGTTTTTTCCTTGCTTTTGCAAAGTGTTTCTGGTTAAGTGCCATTCCTGACTGAATAAACTTCTCAGTAATTATGTTAAAATCTCATCCTGACAAAAAATTTCAGGTCTTCAAAATAAGCATTTCAAAGTGCATGAATACGGGAGAACTTCATTCAGAAATCTAACACGCACTTCAAATATTGAGCTATCTTGTTCAAATGTAATAAGGTCATAGTGATTGTTAAGAGGCACTATTCAAATGAATCTTGGTCTGATTTTTTATGCTTGCATATAGGATATATTTGGGAAACCAGGTGATCTGTTTAAGTATTTAGTTAAGTTTCAAATTTGATAATAAAGAGATAAAGTTTATGCCCCACACCTTTTCTGTAGTAAGTATAAGCTATTAGATAGATATTTCAAATTTTTTAAGAAAGTTATGATATTTGAACCAATTTCTTTTATTTTGATTTAGATCTGTGAAGCTAAGTTCATATATCAATGTCATTTTAATTCACTTCTTACTACAATGAAATAGAAATGTGAGAACAAGACTATGGTTCAATGGCTTAGTGCCTTTTGATATGGATGCATTTCATACACTTTAGTTCGATTTGGAAAGAGGTTTGGCTTTGATCTGTTCTTTTAATTTTTTCATTTATTTTTATTACCTAGGATTTCACTAGTTGGGTTGAGTAAAGAGATGAAGATGACACAGCATAAACGAAAGGATAACAATAACTCAGTTTTGACAGTTAATTATCTTTGTATCATCTCATTTTGTTTCCTTGTAATTGAGAAGAAATTTTTTAGGTTTTGGATTGTAACATCTAAACATTCTAAAAGTATTAGTGATTGATGGGCATGACATCACTCTGTGGAAACTTCTGTCCTAAATAATAGCATCCTGACTTCTTTTTTTTATTTTATTTTTAAGGCAAGTATGACACACCCACACCCACACCCACACCCACACCCACACCCACAATTTTCCCTCGGTCTTGAACCCTCAACCTTTCACTTGGAAAGTTGAGTAAATATAAGTAGTTTTTGGTGGTTCATGCTCTTTATATTACTATTACTGTTTAACCATACTTCTCAGAACCAGATTGGACTTTTGACCTGTTTCTGCTGCCAAATCAAAGTCAGCCACTTCAATCACAGTTACTTGGTTGACCTGGTATGGATTGTAAAATTTAAATATCAAAACTAAATTTTTAATGGAGCTGAGGTGGAGCCCCATTCGTTAGACGGTTAATTATATATAGGACGTGGAAGGTTCAATTCTTCCAATCATCTGTCTCAAGGTTAGGTTTTATATATGATTAGGAATGCAATCTTTGTAACTGAACCAGAACATTTGACTTGCTATCTAGTTCACCTTTTAATTGGCTGGTCTTGTAATATATACTTTAAATGTTATCAATAACCTTCAAATGTTGCATTATAATAGATTGGGAGCAGGATAACAAGCAAGCGAATTTCTCAGATGCTGGAAGAATGCTTTCCATTCTCATATATAATGGTTGACAAGCATCCAAATCGTCATGATCCTTCACACATCGTAACTCATAGGATCCAGAGTACCATCACTCAGTTTACTGACTGTTTACTTAAAGCTGTAATACCACCTATCGACAGCAGATGGAGTAATGTTCTACGAGCTTTGGATATGATGGTATATCTTCTCCATATATGATGCTTTCCCTAGTATCTACTGTTATTTTGATGATTCTATGCTCTTCTTCCACCCAGCCTCATTTTTTCTCTATGTTAACATGAACCTGATTTTCCATTTTGGTAAATCTGGGGGAGATTTTGACGGAGTTCCAACACAAAGTCTGGTTTGTTTGATTGAGGCCAACCCAAGCCTGATCAAACATTCAATGTGCAGCTATAAAAAGCTCCAATAAACAATGAAAATCCTAATTTGACTGGTATCAAATTTGGTTGATGCTGTAAGACTGGAATAAGTCTTTTTATTTATTTTAGTTTTTCCTTTTTGTTTGGTCTCAATTAGAAACTGAGTAGGTTCGATGCTGTTGATATCAAGTGGATTCACATAATTTCGAGTAGATGCTACAGATACCTCTAGAAGATCACTTCATCAATTCCAACATTAGTAGACAAACCGCTTTCCCCTTTTGAACGCCTTTTTTAATTCATTATTATTTATCAAAAAATAACATTAGTTGATAAACATCTTCACATAGAACACTTACCTAAAATTAATATATTTATATAACTACTAATGAGTTGGTTGTGGTCATTATATAATTATGGGTAAATTACACTGAAGTCCCTTGAGGTTTGGGCAAATTACACACAGGTAGAGTGTTTGACCTTTTTTACTTTGACCTCTCTTGAGATTTGGTGTGTGTGCTCAACGACACTCGTGTTGATATAAAAAATTCAAAAATGACTAAGTTGCCTTTTGCTTGTATTAAAAGACCTCAATAACCTTATATTTTGACATGAAATGACAAAAATACCATGAAATGCCATTGAAATGCAAAGTATCAATTTTCATACCAATTTTATATTATTGAATTTTGCAAAATCAAAATTTCTTTTTTGGTTAATGGCATTTGATTAGGTTTCTTCTTAGGGTTTGATTAGGTTTCTTTCTTTATTTTTTATTTTTATAAAAAAAATAAAAAATTAGGTAGGTAATATAGTGTTTTTTATTTTTAACCAACAGGCCTGTGGCCTAGCGGTACAAGGCTCCTACTTCCCAAAGGGAGGTCAGGGATTCGAATCTCAGTGGAGGCAGCGTGTGTGAGTCCCAACTAGGAAAAAAAAGAAGAAGATATAGTGTTTTACAAGACGGGAAAATAAATAAATAAAAGGGTAATAGAGTCTTTTGGTTTGACAAATTTTTATTTTATTAAGCTATTATTAAATTCGATAAGGGTATGAAAGGCATTTCACACTTTTAGGGGAGGTCAAAGTAATAGAAGGCCAAATGCTCTTTCCATATGTAATTTGTCCAAACCTCAGGAGAGGTCAGTGTTTACCCTATAATTATTATCTACAATACGAATCACTTCTGTGCATGCAGCCTATAAAGCATTATGGTTCGCGAGTGAACTACTTGACAGTTGACACATATAAGTATATAACTTAAAAAGCATCTCCACATGTCATAATTCTTGTTATTCATTGCTAGCAAACTTACTGGCTAACATATTTTAACGAGTCTAGAACAAATGGATGTCCTAAGATTATTAGCCGCATATTGTGGATCTCACTTGTTGGAAAATCTAAAGTTCAGTTCATCTCAATTGGGAGCATTATGGCTGTAAAAGAGAAAAAAGGAAGAGAAGCATTGCCTTTGTAATAATCTCTCTCAATTGAGCTCTTAATTGAACATAGAATTGACTATCTTTTTATTCATCACTAAGTCCCTCACAATAATGTAAATCTGCCTCAATATGTTCGTCCCCTCATGAAACACCAGATTACTAGCAACTTTTATAGCAACCTTATTTACTCCGCCTCAACACTTGATCTTGCCTCAACATTTTGTCTTTTGACACTAGTTAGAAGAACGTGAAGGAGCTCCATTATTATTTATTTTTTTTCTTTATTCCAGTACAAGAAGCATAATTGTCTCCATTGTTGAAAAGATGATTTTTCATACCAATTGATGTAGGAGAGAAGAAGAGAAGAAGAGAAGAAAAATTTAAAGAAAAGAAGAGAAGAGAAGAAGAAAAAGAAGAATAGGTGAAAATAGGGAAGAAGAAAGAAAGCAGAATATAGAATTGTTAAACGTGTTTGTAGTTTATCAATTCCATTATATCAATGATAAACTCATTACACAGATGCCTAATATATATAGGAAAACTCAAAATAAATAATAAATAATTCTAAAAATATAGATAACTACTACAAATAAAATGGAAAACTAATCTAATTCCAATCCATTAAACAAAGAAGACATGAAATACCCCCAAGACAAGGAAGATAACCCTAAATCTGTCTCTTTTGAAATACCCCTAAGATAAAGAAGATAACCCTAGATCTGTCTCTTGCACCTATGTTGGCATAGGTGCAAGTCTACTGTGGCACGTGGGTCTGGGCCCATCGTGATCCCTATCAGATTTATTAAGTAGAGGGCGTCTCTTGCATTTTGTGTTGGTTTATTTAATTGGGTGTTTTTAAAATAAAGTTAAATTCCAGGTTGTTATTATGACGGTTTCAGACCCATATTGATTTTTGGATATTTTTCTTGAGTAAAGGGTTTGAATTGACCTTCCAAGAAAAAAAGGGTTTCAATTCATATATTGTGCACTTTCTCTCTTAGCATTCTTTTGTAACTTCTCTTTTCCTATTTTGTAGGTTGCCTGGGAGATATCATTTCTAATTCATTCACAATACTCCTTGACTGAACCTTATGTTGCGCATATAGTTCCAGAAGCACTTTGCTCTGAGACTGCTATTTTTGTTGGGAACAGCATGGCAATACGTGATGCGGACATGTATGGATGTAACTGGTCAAAATCTACTCCTAGTAGTGCCACAATGTTAAGCTCACAGTTACCATGTAAAGGGATGCTGGTGGCTGGGAATAGGGGAGCTAGTGGTATTGATGGTTTGCTGAGCACAGCTGTTGGTTTTTCAGTAGGATGCAACAAACGAGTGAGTACTTATTAGATTAACTGTTTTATGTTAGTTTTTATTGTTAGTTGCTGGTTCTCTTGTTTCTAAAAGTCTGACTTTATCATGCTTCTCTGTGAAAAAAAAAAAAGGTTTAGTACTTTATTAGTAGAAGAATTGGTTTTTGCCCGGTAAATTTAATACCTGGTGTTTAAGATACATGTAGGAAATCAGCATAACATGGTTAATCTTCTGTAATTCTTATCGCATCAAACACTAGAAATATGATTGGCCATATCTCCTGCATCTTATCTCAGACACCAGGGCTCTTTACTTAATACTGGAGTACTTTGTTGACAGTAAACTATGTCTATGTGACATTGATACAAGTGGCTGTTCTGTAACTTACTGGTCATTATGTAACGGTTTTGATCTTGAGTCAGTATAGGAAAAAGGTGACGGTCCTATTAGAACTGACAGTTATATACATATGTAATTATTTAAGCTCATTTAAGCTGGTTTTCCATTTTTTTTTTTCTAATACCGTAGTATTACTTTTGGGATTGAGCCATTGAGCTGCTACAGAAAGACTGCATAACTATATATTTGACCTCCAAGACAACAAAATCTACAATATCTAACCTTAGATCTTAACAAAGATTCTCGATACGTGGGTATTCCACTTTGATCATAAGTTTCAAGTAGTTATTATTATTATTTCAAATTGATTTTAAATCTAACTTAGATCTCTTGTTTGAAGTTATATTACTAAAAGTTGTTGGTGAACATATTTCCGAATTTCCTGATATAGGTCTCTATAAATCTAGTTTATTTCTTTTTTTTACTTTTTTGGACATTAAGACAATGATGTTGTTTAAACAGGCTTTAACTTTGATAACTTCTTGGCACATAAAGTAGGACCATCTGTAGAGCACTATCATTTGAATGGGAAACGGAAATATAAAGAGTTATAGGGTTTCCGTAGAACTGAATAAGATCTCTTCATAACAAAATGAGAGGAGGGTGCTCGTACAATGGGTTTTAGCAATATTTATATAGGAGTAAAGAGCACTATCTCAACACATGACTTTTAGAAAGACTAAGACCCTAATATTACTATTCCATTTTTTACTTATCAAAAATAAATAAATAATAAACTGAGTAACTAACGCAAAAGTAATTGTAACATGACTAATTTACTAAAGGGCTGCGTAACCTTTTCGTGCTCTCTCGGATGGTCATATATTAATGTCCTCAGGTTAGAGAGAAATTTAGTCTGCTGGGTAAGTGTGAAGGGACCAACCATAAGTTTCTGGATCCACATGTCTGTACTCCTCTTCATCATTTAACATGCTTTCACTATTTGTTTCTTCCAACCGCTTCATCAAAAATCTGCTGTATGTTCCATCAGTGAAACTTAACTTATTTTACATCCAATTCAGAAAACTCCTCTGAATTTGATTAAGTCTATTCTTTGCTATCAATAAACCATCAAAGGAATATAGCCAAATAGGTCACAGAATTGAAAATTGAACTAATCTTTAAGCAATCTTTCAGTTTAAATATCCATTAGAACCAATCCCTTTCAACACTAAGCATGGTTCAAACTTTCAAGGCTTCAGTTTATGTTATCTAAGGAACAAGTCTCAATCTTTGATTTTAGTGAAAGAAAATATTGAAAGTTTTTTTATCTGATCAATTGTTTTAGTTTTAGTAGGATTTAATAATTTATATGGTAGTAGTTCCCTCAAAATGAATATTAAGTTAACTAGAACTGCACTTAATGTTTTGTGACAAGGATGTGAACATAATAGCTTATAGTAATTGGGTCTATTTTTATTTTGTGAAAAAGGAGAAAATCACTAGAACTGCTTGAGTCACAACTGAAGTAGAGAGATGTCATCATAGGAGTTCAATAGGATTGCAGTATTGATCAAAATATACAGTATGGATTGTATGGATGGTAGGTTGCCATTGATTTTGTGATGGAAGTGAAATGTGGAATTGACATAAAAGAACTTCTTTATTAGTAAATTACTGATATTGAATTTGGAATCCATAACTCTCCTTAATGTACATTTGGTAACTTGTTTGTGGCTTGTAAATTTCATCTGATTTTCTGTTAGAGTTTTTGACAATGTGGTTTTCATATCTATTTGGAGTAATCAGCTTTCTTCTATTGAGAACAATGAATGAATTTCTTCCAATTTTAAACTGACTGCTGTTTTCCTTTAGAGAGTTGATGTTTCGTAATAATGTTCATAGTTTTTGATGACATTGCACTGGTTTGTACTTTTATGATTTTGTTTAGGTACTTTGTGTGATTGGAGATGTTTCTTTCTTACATGATACGAATGGATTGGCACTTCTGAAACAAAGGTATAAATCCCGTCTGTTTTTTGTCATTTTTGGTCATTATATTGCTTCTGTGGGTATATTTTTAGTTTGAAACTTCATATGCATACTTACATGGACTGATGCATTGAGGCACAAAGACATAGCCTTGGCAAACAGAACCTTATTTATTTATTTTATTTTTTATTTTTCATAAATGTGATGATTTCCATTAACAAAAATAAGCCTTCAGTACAATGGAAAAGTGGAGGCATACCCCCACTGATTATAACTAGGAAAAGAATACTGAAAAAGACCCTTTCCAATACACTTGGAAACAAAGAAATACAAGACAAAAAATGAGTCTTAAACTAAGACAAAACAACCTTAAGAAATGTGATGGCAAAGATTTTCAAGAGAATTAATGGAAACCATACCCATAATCTCAAAAACCAGTCCTAGAAACCTCCTCAGCCTCTCTCCTATAATCTTGGTGCATTCTGAGATTTCTTTCTCTCCAAACTGCAAATGGATGTAGCGAACAACATAGCAAATACTTTAGATGATTCAGATTTTTGTTCACTCCATTGCAGCAACTCAGCAAGAGAACTGATAGTCCAATTCCAATTGAAAACAGCTGCAAACCACATCCACGTAGATCTAGCAAAAATGCATTCAAAAAACAAGTAATAGTTTTGGTACATATACTCTTTGTTGTGAAGGGGTTTTTGTTTGGTGTAATGGTAAAAGTTTGGTTTGTTAAGTGTAAGAACGTGGATTCGAGTGTGAAAGGGGCCACTTTATGCAAAATAATGCTGAGGCCTGATTCCCCTCCCAGCACCTCACAGGACACTAGCACTGGCTTTAGGCCTTTTATGTTGTTTGTTGTTAAATATTCAGTGGGCCTCTTATTTTAGCTAACATTTTGTGATCAGGGCCATTGGCCATTTTCTTTATTTTCTACTGCTTGACCTTGCCCTTTCTTTTAAAAACATTTTTCACTTTTCAAGCAAAAGTATATCATTTTATTGTATACCATTTTTATTTTGAACTTATTTCCCTCTTGTACGAAGAGAAGTTTTTTGTATATGAAATAACCAAATTGATTGTAGGTATACTTAATAATCTTCATAATTTAACCAAATGATTAAGGGAAAAAAATAAAATTAAAAAAATCTAAATAACAACCTTGAACTCAGACATTCTGTTGGTCCCTCCCCCCCACACCCACCCCCCCACAACAACCCATCCCACCACCACCAAAAAAATAGTAAAAGGAAAAGAAAGAGTACAGAGAAAAATTGTAGTTCTTGAATTGTTTTGCATTCTTTTTGAGATTCTTTTCATAGCCGGATTAGCATGATTTCAATCATGCATAATTACTGTAAATTCTTAGCTTCCTTGTCATACATGGTATAGGTAGTCAATTATAATATTAGCCGCATGATTTCCATTTCTGATTTCTATAATTTACATGAAGACTGTTTTGCAGTGTTCTGTACATTCGTTCAATAACAGAAGGTGCATGACACACCTTCTCTTCAACTGTTTTATATAATGTGTTTTGTTTGAAGGATATTGCGGAAACCAATGACAATAATTGTGATAAACAATCATGGTGGTGCAATCTTCAGTCTCCTTCCCATTGCAGATAGAATTGAACAAAGAATATTGAATCAGTATTTCTACACGTCTCATACTGTTTCAGTCCAGAACTTATGTGGAGCACATGGGTAAGATTCTGAACATGTGTTTATTATATCTATAATATATTTGGTTCTTTTCAGCTTAATAATCATTAGTCATCAGTTAAAGTATAATGTTACTGTTCATATTTTTCCGCTAAGCTTCTTGCTTTCCAATATTAGTTATGCACTACTACTATAAAATATTTATATTCAATAGTGAAATGAATGCAATCTCATGTAAACCCATAGAAGTTGACATGGTGTAAAAACTTTCCATTTTTGGACTACGATATCATATCTAGACTGAGACCTATGAGTTATTTATCAGGCCATGATCCCTTATGTAAACTGCCAAGTATAGGAAATAATAGTTTATTTTAGTTAAAATTATATTTACAAATTAGTTTAGAATTTGTTCAAGACAATTTCGTTTAAACTTTTAAGGCTAAGAGTACGTGGTGCATAAACAGAAGGAATGAGGAAATGAGAGAGACATGCTAATTGGCTGGCTCCTCTATTTATATATCATCTCTAAACATTCTAATTGGCTGGCTCCTCTAGAATATGCAATAAACAGGACTGGTTGCTTATTGATTCCGATTTCTGTTTTTTCTATTTCGTATTCTAGCCACATACTCAACTAACGAAGATTGAATATTTTCCAAATCTAGATAAAGAAAAACCTGGGCCATAATGCACTTTACTTAAAAAATCTGTTTGGTGACATTGCATTGGGAGTCGAGACTGCAGAAGTATTCTCCTGTTATAATGTTCTATTTTGTTATTATTCCTTAGAGCCATTTTTCCTAATGCTAAGGATGCATTGTTAACTTCATTATGGTGTGTGGTATTAATGTTAATTGAATTCCTTGGAAATTTCAGCACAAGCCACAGTGGAAGTATCCCATTTTTGTTTCTGGTCCTTAATTTCTTATCACTCACAACATTTTTGCTACACATGGAATTTTTTGATAATGGATGCTGTAATTTGTCATTTTTACAAGACATTTCCGTCTGTATGAGAATTAGTTTCTATTTCTCTCTTAGATATCTAGTTCTTTCACTCAACTTTTCAAATTTATTTAGCATTGTAGAGAACAAATTTTAAATTAAGCAACAAATAGCTCATGCAGATCCAATTTGTGATTACAATTTTCTTATGTTATTTATTCAATTTCACATTAGCATCATAAGGTTAGTAGCGTAGTTTCAATTAGAATGATTGTGGATTTTACGACCTTGTCAGTGTAATGAGAATATGAGATGCCACCATTCTAAGAACCTCATTCCCACTTCTTATATTTTCAATGCTTAGTTGACATCAGATTCTTTGGGCCTTGCAGAGGTTTTGTCAAAGTCCTTCTATTGTCAGTCATATTTTTTGTAGGATTTGATTTTGAAGATGATATCTACTTCAGGAGATTATTTGTTATTAGTTTTGATGACATTTTATGAATGAGGGGAACACTTTCATACTTGTCTCAGTACTGTACCTAGTATATTAATTTATTATAAATGTTCTTAAACCCAATAAGATTTTTATGATTTGGATACCTAAGCGTGCTAATTCATCAGAGGCATCTTGCTTGCTCCATGAATTTATTAAATTAGCACCCATCAGGGAGGAATAGTTCTGTTTAAGTCAAGAAATGCCAATGAATGCTCAAGTTAAATGTTCTCTTCTAGGACTAGTTGTTTCAAACGTTGCATTGTATTTCTTTTATTAGAATTAAAGAAATAACAAACAGCACTAAAAAAGAAGCAAAAAAAGAAAGGGGAGTTCTTTCAGAAAATTAACTCAGAAAAAAAAAATGGAAAGACTTCATTGTTTCATTAACATGAACAGTCTTGATTGTACCATTTTTAATCTGGATTGAAGTTGATTTGTTGAAAGCAAACAATCTAACATATTCATCAACGTTGTTAGTCATAGCCTGGTATTTTATTCTCTTAGTTTTGCTCTAATAATTCCGGGAATGGCAAGTTGATTTGCAAAATTGTCAACTAAGCAAGTGGAGTTAGTGAATTTATATACATAGTTCATCATTCTCATTTTCTCACCGTTTGCTACCATATTGAATTGATAGTTTCTTCTTTGATTAAAAAAATTCTTAATGTACAGTGTGAGGCATGTACATGCACAGACAAAAAAGGAACTCCATCATGCTTTATTCACATCTCAACAGGAAGAAGTTGATTGTGTCATAGAAGTTGAGAGCTGCATTGAAGCCAATGCCACCTTCCACAGGTAGTCAGTTTCAGTTGCTTCTTGAAACATCACTTCTAGGTTAACATCTTTTCACCTACCTTGTTCACTAACATGGTAACACCTCGTCTCCCAATTCTCAGTTATTTGAGAAAATTTGCATGTCAAGCAGCAGATCATGCTCTGAGCATCCTTTCAAGGCTTTCAACTGCAGATTCTATCCTATATGGGTTCCCTTTTTGCAAAATTTGTAAGATGGAGTACTCTTTTTATAGGTAAGTTTAGTATCATGGGTTATGTTTTATAGATCTCATAATCATATTGCTAGATTCAAGAAATATTTAATATTCAAATTGTTGTTGCGACAGAATTCAACTCTGTGCTCCACCCACTTCTACTTCTGTCAATTGTGACTCTACGGGGTTCTATAAAGAAGGTTTCATTATAACTCTGATTCTTGAAGATGGAAATGTTGGGTTTGGTGAGGTTAGTACAGGATTGATGACCCCCCCCCCCCCCCCCCCCCCCAATTTACTTGTATTCTTTGTTGCTGAGAGGAAAAAAAAAGAAAAGAAAATGGAGGTTCTCTACTTGTAGATTGTAATAACCAGCAAAATCGATGTCTAGTGATTTTCTGTTTTGTTGATATGCATCTGTTTACCATTAAGTTTCAAATTGTAATGCCTTTAATTAGAGTGTAATCATAGAATTTGTTGAGTGAGTTGTATCATATATTCTGATGGAAAAATCCAAGTAATCCGAGTTTGGAGTTTTCACCTTGCATTGTAAAATAAGTAGATTACACACAATTTACATGCCATAAATCTATCAATGATTTGGCTTTCATGGTTTTTATTAAATTCAGTTGTCTACTGATGGATCAAGAGGATTTTTAGCCCAATTTAAAGTCTTATCTTGTATCTTAAGCCTTTTCAAGTGTGTCTTACAGTGTCACCTATATATAAAAAAAAAGTATCTTACATTGTTGAGTCATATGACTAGAAGTTTTTTGGCATGATATAAGAAGCAAGATAAGCTCATGATATGCAATCAGTTCAGGATCTGCAGGAACACACTTGATATGATTTTGGGCTGTATCTCACAAGAAAAAGAAAATAGTATATATTTTTTGTTATGATTAAAATATTTTGATCTCCATTGATGTGGGAGTTCAAAAGTTAATATCCTTTTGTGTTTTGAATTGGAAACCCTAATGAGAGATTATGGTGCTCAATTCAATGCAATTTTAATGTGACATTTAAGTATAACAGAAGAAATGTTGTACTTTATGTGTTGAAATGCTCTTATTTATTCTAAGAGTACTACCATTGTTTCTATAGATATATTGATCTTCTGAGATTACCAAGGCTCTGCATTCTAAAGGTTTCTAATAGTACTCCCATTGAATGCTCTTATTTAAACCCCTAGCTCTGCATTCTAAAGGTTTTATTCTCTCATTCTAGTATAGAGCTCCTTGTACAATAATGAGGTCAGACAAGAATGAAAAGCCTTTGAAATAGGCAGTTGCAGAGCCAGATGGTGTTTTTATTCATCATTTGGAGTACATGCTGAGAACACTGACTTGATTATGAAATTTTATTATAACAAATTTCTTTCCGTAGTCATTTGTCAATATGATTGTCAGCCACTTATTCAGTTGAAGGTGGCTTGTATATTGTGATTCACAGGGTTCTTTTCCAATGTGACTTGTGAGTTTTACTTTTGTTAGAATAGTGGATTTCCCTAGTTTCATAACAGGCAAATGCTTCGTCTTTTGGGATGACATGTGACTATAGTCCTTTGCACACTGAACTTCCTCATTTAAATGAGAGAGATGGAAGGAGGGATTTTCATATACATCAGTGTGGTAACTGGTAATAGAAGGCATGCCATTTGAATTCTCTCCTACCTGGAAGGAAGAAAATATTATATATTACTTGTGCACTACCAAACAATTCATATGGTGTTTGTCAAAATAATTTGTCAACCACTGCTTTTTGCTTCCCATATTCTTTTGTATTTCTTGTCACTTCCTTCCCGTTGTTTCCTTAGTTTCTTTTCTGATCATTACATTATGTTTATCTTTCTTCTACATTCTTTTCTTTTTTGTATATATAAATAATTGATAAAATTGTTCTTTCCATATCTTGAACAGGTTGCACCTCTTGAGATCCAGAAAGAGACTCTGTTTGATGTTGAACAGCAACTTCGTTTTTTTATTCATATAATTGACGGAGCTAAGATTAGTTACTCACTTACTCAGCTAAAGAGTTCATTTTCTTCATGGTTATGGAATAGCTTAGGAATCTTGGTAGGTCCATGCATCTTCAATCCTCAAATATGATATCAATATACCTAGCTTTTACATTACCCAGTAAAAAATGAGGAAAAGGAAAAATTTGGTACTTCTTGTATCTTCTCAATTTTGCTTGTAATGGAGTGAAAATTTAAAATGTTAAGTTAATTCTTTGAAATATAGCCAGGTTCAATCTTCCCTAGTGTCAGATGTGGTCTAGAAATGGCCATCCTCAATGCCATAGCAGCAAGCTGCGGTTCCAGTTTATTGGATGTACTTCATCCCCTGTCAGTTAAAGAAGAAGTTTCTGAAAGATCATTAAATGTTCAGATTTGTGCCCTTATTGATTCAAATGGGTCTCCCAGTGAGGTAGCCTTTGTTGCCGCCAAACTTGTTGAAGAAGGGTTTACTACACTAAAGCTAAAAGTGAGAACATTTATCCTAGATCATATTTTTGGAAATAATTCTCTCCTCTGTAGTTTTACAAGTCAGTATTATATCTGAAAATACGTAATGTAATTAATTCTGGTTCACACAATTAGTTCAAACAATGATCCAAAAGGCACAGATTTATGAAATCTTAGGTGGCTAACTAACAAATTTTGTATTAACAGGTAGCACGCCGTGAAGATCCCATTGAAGATGCTATGGTTATACAAGAAGTAAGAAAGAAGGTAGGTCACCATATTAAACTCCGCGTGGATGCAAATCAGAAGTGGACGTATGAAGAAGCTATTCAATTTGGCTCTTCTGTTAGAAACTGTGACCTGCAGTATATTGAGGTATACTCATGGAAATTGATGGATATTCCTATTCTACCTCTTGTAATGTTTAATTGTTTACAGATTCTTCTGATACGAACTGTTTAGTGATTATTGGAATTATTTCGGTGGAAAGTTACATAATGCTAGATGAGCTGTTCATTTTTGTTGTCCTGTTAATTGAGGTTAATGTTCCTTAACTGTTTTTTTATTTAAACAGTAGTCAATAATTTTCATGGATTTCTCATTAAGTTACTGTCTCATATAACTCTGTTATTTCAGGAACCTGTTGAGGTTGAAGATGATATAATTAACTTCTGTGAAGATACTGGCTTACCTGTAGCACTGGACGAAACTATTGACAACATTCAAGAAAACCCGTATGAAATGCTTGCAAAGTTCACACACTCTGGAATAGTTGCTGTTGTAAGTAGAAGTGCACTTCCATTTTTTATTTTATCAGGGAACATAATGTGTGGTTTGGTCTGGTGATTAACAATTCTTCTTGTAGTACAGATCTTGTTGGGTAGGTATGCTTTTTAGTACCAATTTGTAGGGTTTGAGCCCCATCTAAAACATTTTCTAGACCAGAAATTAGCCCAAATACATGGCCAGAAATGCAAGCAAAAGTTTCCCATCAGTCTTCTCGTTGGAGATTTCTTTTAGATTATTCACTTGTTGTGGAGACTAGAGTGCTAACTATGGGCTTTGTTTCTTGCATATCAGGACAAGATAGAATTTGATAGTACAACAATTCAACCCATTATAACTTAACTCCCTTATAGTATGATAGCAGTCTGTAGTTTTGTCGTTATGGGATGCCTAGAATTTCAATTGTTCTTATTACTATTAATATTATTACCGATATTGTTATTTTTGCTGAAAAATTAAGCTTCTGTGGCTTTAATCTCAAGCTCAACTTTGTCTTGTGACATCATTGTTTCATTCTTTTGAATTTGTTAATAGAGCTTTAAGGTCTTCTGCTAATAATTAGTTGGAATTAACCTAACTGGTTGGTTAAATTGTTCCTTTCAGGTTATCAAACCAAGTGTTGTCGGTGGCTTTGAAAATGCTGCACTAATTGCACGATGGGCCCAGCAGCAGGGGAAGATGGCTGTTGTCAGTGCTGCATTTGAAAGTGGGCTAAGTTTGTCAACTTATATTCAATTCTCAACTTTTCTTGAGCTCCAGAACACTGATATATGTAGGATCATGAATAAGGAACAGGGTTCCTATCCACCTATAGCACATGGTCTTGGAACTTACAGGTGGCTTAAGGAAGACTTAACCACTGAACCTCTAAATATTAGTCGTAGTCCCCATGGTGGCTTCGTTGAAGCATCTGTTCTTGATGCTGATAAACTCTTGAGGAAATTTCAACTGAACCGCAATGCAAATGCCATCCTTCGAACTGTTACTGGAGAACAAGTTCATAAATACCAGTTAAAAGTTGCTTCCAATGGTTTCTCCTTTTCTGTCAATGTGCAAGAGATTGGACCAAGTATTGATGTAAGTGATAAAATTGTTCAATATACACAAACTTCTATTATTTTGTGTTTATAGAAGTTCCCCACCATCCAATTTGCCAAACCATCCCCGATTATTCTATTATTGAATGGCAGTAGGTACATACTTCTGATTTTTGGTATTGTCGTTGAATTTTTTAACTTATTTATATTTTTTTATTAATCAGTAAATTTTTATCAGCAACAATGTATAATTGCTCTTAAATTTTTTCCATGCATCTGTTCATATATTTATATGTGTATGTATATATATATATTTTCCTGTTTGTTCTTTATGAAAAGAAAGTAAAACATTCCATTAGTCTAATTGTTTGAGTAAGCCAATTTACATGTGGCATCTTGATTTTGAGACACGGAGCATCATATGAGTCTCCACTTATATATATGTGTCTACATTTTCTATATGTAGCAAATGCAGTTGAAAAACTTCTGTACGGTTCCGTTTGCTTGTTGAAGTAAGCTCGAATTTTCAGTGCCCATTGCCAGTGGCGGAGCCACATAGGGTCGTGTGGGGCAATTGCCCCCACTCAACTTTTGTTATATTTTACTTATGTTCATAATTTTTCAAAATTGTAAAAATGCCCCCACTTCAAAATTTCTCGAAAGAAAAAAGAAAAGGCCTTTAGTCATGTTCCTGCAGTCCTTCGTTTTATTGTTATTTTTCTCTCGTAAAGCCTCTTTGCACATCACTTACTCACAACTCACGTATACTTTAATTTATCCGCATTACTCATCAATATCTCCCTTTTAGCCACTTACTCTTTCTCAAAGACGGAAATGAGAAGAGGAAATCGTATAAGTGTTCTTTCATTTTTGGGTACAAATAAAAGGATAAGCATTTTGTTAACATCAATAGGATTTTTTTTTTTTTTTTTTTTTGTGAATTGGTTTTTCAAAAAATTAAAACTACAATGGTTTTACTGAGAGTATTTCATATTTCAAAAGAAATTATCGTGTAACATTCAAAATATGAAAATTAGTCAAGAACAATCATAAATTTATTGGATAAAAATAGTATCAATAGAATCAATACATGTATAAGTTTTCATAATTTTATTTTGGTAAAAATTATATATATACCTTGACATTTTCCCCTACTAAATTAAATTTCTGGTTCTGCCAATGCCTATTTCTTTGAATGACTGAAAAATCGAGCTACTTGAATTTATGCTCCTTTGTTATAATCTTGCTCTTCCATGACTGCGGTTCTGCAGAATAATGTAATTGTGTTTCTTCATGGGTTTCTTGGAACTGGCGAAGACTGGATTCCCATCATGAAGGCCATCTCAGGATACGCAAGATGCATTGCGATTGACCTTCCTGGCCACGGAAAATCAGAGATGCAAAATCATGCTGGTAAGGAATCAGTACAAGAACCAAGTTTGTCAATTGAGGTAGTTTCAGATATATTATGCAAGATGATTCATTGCATCACTCCGGGAAGAGTTACGCTGGTTGGATACTCAATGGGAGCAAGGATCATACTGTACATGGCTTTAAGATGCAGTGATAAGGTATATTTATCGAGTGTTTTAATATCTTTCTTTCTTTCTCTTTCTCTTTTTTTTTTTTTGAGCTTGAGCTTTATTTGTTATCAATAATTAATGGAAATTTTATAATTGTCATGTAAGGTTGAAGGAGCTGTCATGATATCTGGAAGCCCTGGATTAAAGGATGTAGGAGCAAGAAAATTCCGTAGGGCTAAAGACGATTCCAGAGCATGCTCCCTCATTGCCTATGGTTTAGAACTCTTCTTAGACACCTGGTATGCAGGAGATCTATGGAATAGGTACTTGTTGATCTTTCCATCAATCTTTTCCATTCTTGCTTTTGTTATACTTAATATTTGTGAACTTATATTAATAATCATCATTTTTGCAGCTTAAGAAGCCATCCCCATTTTAAACAAATAGTTGCAAGCCGCTTGCAGCATGATGACGTGAACACTCTTGCGAAATCCTTGTCTGATTTAAGTATTGGGAGGCAGCCGTGAGTTTATCTACTTATTCATTTTTACTATTTTCTTGTTCAAGTAAAAATCAGATGTTTGTTTGTTAAATCCACTTTGTGGATGGAGGGGAGAGAGAATTTTACTTTTTCATTTTTACAATTGTTATTGTTGTTGGTATCCTTGTGTTTAGAGTGTGTCCCTACCTTTTGGGTGGGACTCTGTCCGTCCTTCGGCTATGGACCATGTCATGCTCCAATGCGACACACCAATTTAATCCAAGGAAACCCCTGTGAGGCTAGCCTTAAGGAGGAGAATTGAACCCAAGACCTCTGCCTTGTCAGTTTGGGCACTTGGCCAACAATTCCACCCCTTGGAGTTGTTTTTATTCCCCCCCTTGTAATTTTCATCGTGAAATAGAGTTTCTCTGTGCACACATCAGTACATCACACCACAAGATTCAGCGGGTTGGATACAGGTTGAAATTCTGAAAATTGGTTCACCATGTTGTTGGCTTTATTCATTGATGCATGTAGGGAAAATGTGACTGGTTGCTAATTTGTTATAATGTCCTAAACACAAGATGTTTGTGGGCAAAATAAAACCATTATTCTATTTCAAGAGGCTCATTCACTCGTATTATATTATATACCTAGAAGAAAGAATCTATGCATATATTTTTTGTCCATGCACACCTTTATTTATATTGTGTATATATGTGGCTTTTACGTAGCCTTGAGTACTTTTCAAGCTTCGTCTTGTATTTTAGTTTCTTTAATATTCGTTGTGTTTGAACATCTTTATAACAATACTATTAACTCATCACATTGGACCACAACCTATTAGAAATACGAAGTCAACTCCTATTCTTGTTGTATCTGTTCCCAGCCCATCTCTCTTGTTTCCTACATGTATAAATGTCCCATGTTAGTTCGTAGTTTTTCGTAGAGCTCACGAATTTCTTATCAAGGCAATAGTAGGAAAGATATGTGCTTGAAATACACTTCATCCCCTTCTCTTACACGTGTTCTCTCACAGTACTTAATAACTGGTTAAGAGTTTTGAAATTCTTTTATCAATATTTTTTATACGAGGCTCACCAGGTCAGATGTGCATTCTTTGGCATTCTTTATATGTTGTTCACTTGGGTTTGGGCTGGACTGACCTAGAGTTGTCAAATTAAAGTTGTGGCAGAAGCCCTTCTAGATTCCTGTGTAGATGCAGCATCATAAAATTGAAGTCTAGTATTCATTTTATTTTATTTTATTTATTACGATTCCAGATATTCAACTATCAAAGCTCTTGGTAAATATTGCTAGTCCTACAATTTGCATGTATCAAGAATTTAATATAAAAGTGACATTATGCAAGACACTCTTCAGTATTTTCCTATCAAGAATTGGCTGTTTGCTTGTTATTGACGCAGAACCCATACACCACTAATTATAAGTTTGAGCACATGGGAAGTGTATTATGCCTTTGTTCCAGAAGAATCAGAACCTATTGCAAAATTACAGTCTCTTTTTTTTTTCATTGTTATTTCTCTTTACAGTTCTACACTTTTATTTATATACATAAGTTGCTATAACACGCGCGCACAATGTATTCTCAGACTTCCATCCCTTCCTATGTCCAGAACTTGATTTTGTGGTTGTCGCAATATGTCTGTGTTGAATTGAAACTCTTTTTTGTGGCCACCCATCGCTGTTCAACTAACTAACTGTCCACATGCATGTTAGTATTGGAAATTGAGAAGGTGTTCATATTTGGTTGTTGCCAATAAATGGATTCCCTGACACTGGAGCGAAAGTATTAGAAATTTCTGGAGGTTGTAATAATGAAACGTTCATTTACATTCTGCATAACCTTCTTTATGGTACCACAACATAATATTGTATCAAGCGAAAATTGTACTATTGGTGCATCGTGAGCCTTCTAGATCCTAAACACTCCCTAAGGCTGCTTTAACGAGTTGTCAATGTGTATTTCAGTAATTCGTCTGTGTCACGAACATGTCTTCAAAATTTCAAAAAATCCCCCCTAGTTACTAAAATTGACTTTAATTGATCCTTCTCTTCTTCTTCTTCTTCGTTTTTTATTTTTTATTTTTATTTTATTATTATTATTATTTTTTAACCTTTACAATGATAGGTCATTGTGGGAAGACTTGAAGCACTGCAAACTACCCCTCCTGCTCATCGTTGGAGAGAGAGACAAAAAGTTTAAAAGGATTGCTCAAGAAATGTTCTGTGAGATCAGCGTTGGTACGAGGAGCAGAGATGGTCCGGAGAATAAGATCTGTGAAATAGTTGAAATCCCTCACTGTGGGCACGCTGCCCATATAGAGAATCCTCTTCCTGTTATCAGTGCAGTCAGACAATTTTTGAGTAGAGTACGGAGTTTAACCCCTAACCCAGAAATATGTTAGATTTTCTCATTTGAGAAGAAGCATGTAATACACACTACATGCAGCTGATGCGATTCACGTAACCGGCAACAGCCTTTTATCAAATGCATTACCATCATGTTAGCAGCTGATGTTTCCTTCATCCATAATGAAGCAGAAAATTTTATGTGATGGAGAAAAGTACGGTCTAACACCCGGACAAGCTGTTACAAGGTCTTGGTTTTGCTCATTTATGATGTACCTCACATTGTAATTTCCACAATTCCTCAGATTTCAATATTGTACTAGGCATTATGATGCCAATGTTGAAATATTTCAGTGTGAATTGACGATTAGAAACCTTGTTACCCACGGACTAATATCCGAACCAAGTTTATGGAATCCAGGTTTCTTTTTCTAGCAAAGATTGAATTGCTACATCATAACAGTAGCGGCTAGTTGGAGTGTTTCTTACCTAGTGCCCATTTGTATTAATTCATAGGTTTCAAAGTTGCAGTTTTTCGGATATTAGTAGGTCAAAGCCAGCTGAAGAAATTGCCCAGATGTATCATATTTATCACAACCCTTCAAATGAGCATTTTCGGAGTAATACTTGGTTTTTGGCCATCTAATAAAGCCATGTTCTGCAAAGGCAAAACAAAGTGAATCACAAACATCCTTTTCTAGGCACACAAACACACAAATTCCAAAACGTGGTGTATTGTATATTATGGCTGAACAATATGAGACATCGAACTAAAGTCAAGATGGGCATGAAATTAATGCCGAAATCCATAAGTGGAGGGTAAGTCTAACCACATGGGTATTGCTACCGACAATGCCTAGCAATTCTCGGACGTCCCTTGTGTGGAGATATAGCCCATTACCGAGCAACCTAAGATTAATAGGTGAGAGTACTTTAGGCCTGACTTTTTTATCATTTGGCAGTCCCTACAGGTCTCATGTTCAATTCAATGATTAGTAGTTAGTTGGAGAAGTCTCATGTTCAATTCAATGATTAGTAGTTAGTTGGAGAAGGGAGAAATTAAACCTAAGATCAATAGGTGGGAGCACTTTAGATCTCACCTTTTTACCATTCGGACAATACCACTACACCTCAGTCCCTACTTATGTTCAATTTTTTGGAGATACCAGAGAATTTTCCAAGAAGAAGGGCTAGTGGGCCACCACAGGAATTGTAAATTGAAGTTAATTTGATCATCATGATTTTAAGTCAATCACGCGTCAATGACTATTTATTTATGGAAGTCACATTTAAACTTAATTTTACATATATAATGGAATCACCTGTCTGAAGCAACCACCGAAGCTGCACACACACACACACACACACACATATATATATATATATATAGTCATCAAAGGTTTAGTATTTAAATCAGCTTTAATTCATTGAATCGCTTTGTTGTCTTGGCCGTGAATGATATATATAAGTGGCACACATCGACATAAAACTTTGGAATTAAACCACTGATGCAGACTTTCTGGTCTTTGGCCTAATTACATTGTTGCTACATATATGGTTGATGGAGCATTCAAAGACTCGCGTTCATTATTTGTTGGAGTACTCTTGAGGTAAGTAGTTCTTCCTGCGTTAATTTTGTTAGCATACAATATATATATATATATATATATATATATATATATATATATATATATATATATATATATATATATATGCAATTCCAATTTGAGATTATTTTCATTTCGTGGTTGAATAATGGGAAACAAAGTACTGAGTCTGTTATATGATCAAAACAGTTTTGTCAAAAATGTTTGAAAAAAGTTTCAAAAGAATTGTTTATACAACAATAGTTTCATGTGTTTCTTTGCATATACGGTAGACAGAGAACTTGAAAGTCACAAACCAAAAATATGAATATTTGTGATACATACTGCTTGCTAAATGTATATGAAAGATAAGTAAATTGCACATCCTCCATGCCTCTACATGACGTGTTTACCCATCGGATATGGACGAGCATTTCCTACAATGACTTTATCTATACAATTATTAAATGTGCAAAGTGTTTCAGTATTTCAGTATTTATTTATTTATATAAAATAATATTTATTAATTGATATAAAAATAGTTTTTGTAAAAATAATTTCTATAAAAATTACCTAATAAAATCGATCACATTCTATATAAAACTCTTATTTTTAGTTATTTTTTATGGATAATTATAGTTTTTATAAAACTCTAAAAATTTCCTAATAAAATCAATTACATTCTATATAAAACATTTATTTTTAATTATTTTTTATATCACAATATAACCGCCCTGCCCAATTATGATTATGTCATTATCATAAAATGACACATGTCATCATCTTATTCATCAAAGAAACTTATAAATAGAGGCATGGAGGAAGGAGAAGGAGTACAGAAATTGAGAATTCTAGAAAAATTCAGAATTTCAGAGTAAAATATAGAAGATCTCCCAAAGAGTTTCAGTATTTATTTATATAAAAAAATATTTATTAATTGATATAAAAAGAGTTTTTTCTATTATTAGATGTGTAAAGAGTTTCAATATTTATTTATTTATATAAAAAAATATTTATTAAATGATATGAAAAGAGTTTTTTTTTTTATAAAACACTAAAATCTACATAATAAAATTTAAATGAATATATTTATCTATTTATTATTATCAATTTTTTAATATAACAAAATATAATTAGACAAGAATTATTAATATAAAAAATATTTATTAATTGATATATAAAATAAAATAATTTTTATAAAACTCTACCACAAATTAGCTTTTATTATGAGTTTCTTAATAAAATTAAATCTAATTAGACAAGTATATATTTAAAGAAAATAAAATAATTTTTATAAAACTCTAGTACAAATTACATATTTGATTTTCAATAAAACCCTATCAATAATTACCTAATAAAATCAATCACATTCTATATAAAACTCTTATTTTTAGTTATTTTTTTATGGATAATTATAGTTTTTATAAAACTCTAAAAATTACCTAATAAAATCAGTCACATTCTATATAAAACTCTTATTTTTAGTTATTTTTTATATCACAATATAACCGCCTCGACCCAGTTATGATTATGTCATTATCAGAAAATGACACATGTCATCATCTTATTCATCCAAGAAGCCTATAAATAGAGGCATGGGGGGAGGAGAAGAGGTACAGAAATTGAGAATTCTAGAAATTCAGAATTTCAGAGTAAAATACAGAAACTCTCCCAGTATTTATTTATTTATATAAAAAAATATTTATTAATTGATATAAAAAGAGTTGAATTCCAGAGTAAAATACAGAAGCTTTGTCAAAGAGTTTCAGTATTTCAATATTTATTTATTTATAAAAAAACATATTTATTAATTGATATAAAAAGAGTTTTTATCTATATTATTATTAGATATGTAAAGAGTTTCAGTATTTATTTATTTATATAAAAAAATATTTATTAAATGATATAAAAAGAGTGTAAAGAGTTTTAGTATTTATTTAGTTATATAAAAAAATATTTATTAAATGATATGAAACGAGTTTTTTTTTTTTTTTTTTTGAAAAAAACTCCATAAAACACTAAAATCTACATAATAAAATTTAAATTAACCTATTTATCTATTTATTATTATCAATATTTTAATATAAGAAAATCTAATTAGACAAGAATTATTAATATAAAAAATATTTATTAATTGATATATAAAATAAAATAATTTTTATAAAACTCTACCACAAATTAGCTTTTATTATGAGTTTCTTAATAAAATTAAATCTAATTAGACAAGTATATATTTAAAGAAAATAAAATAATTTCTATAAAACTCTATTACAAATTCCCTATTTGATTTTCAATAAAACTCTATCAACAAAGATATAGTTAAAGAGTTTCTATAAAACTCTAACACAAATTACCTATTTATCTATTTATTATGAGGTTTTTAATAAAAGGAAACCTAATTAGACAAGTATTATTAATATAAAAAATTATTTATTAACTGATACAAAAAGAGGTTTTAAAAGAGTTTTTAAAAAACTCTTAACACATATTACCTATTTATCTATTTATTTATTATGAGTTTTTAATAAAAGTAAATCTAATTAGACAAGAATTATTAAAATAAAAAATATTTATTAAGTGATATAAAAAGAGTTTTTAAAAGAGTTTATATCAAACTCTAACACAAATTACTTATTTATTTATTTATTATAAATTTTTTAATAAAAGAAAATCTGATTGGCCACCAAGGGCATGACCACCATGAACCCACTTGCTTAAAGTGGTCCCTCTTGTTAGCTTCTGGAAAGGGACCCATAGGTTTTCGTGGGCCCACACGTGCCCAACTAACCTGCAAAAGCTTACCATTAATTATTACACCATCACCAATAATGGTTACACGAAGACTTGTTTGCTGTTGTCTGCCAATCTAATCTCTTTGGTAGGGGCCTTGTGGCAAGGGCAAATCTGAATTTTGGGTAGGGGCCTCTAGACAAAAGGTAAATTTCGTGTTTATTGCGAAATTTAAGCAGGATCAGATGAATGTAATTTTATCATAAATTATTTTTTTTATTTTAAACTCGTGAACTCTGAATTAGAATAGATCAAATCCCTCTTTCGCCAAAGCTCCTAATCTTCCTGTTGCAATGAATATGTAACCCAGCCGACAGATATGGAATTTTTTATATAATGCCTCCTTTAAAATTATTTGTTTTAGAAATCCAGAATAAAAAACAAAACTCCACCAAAGAGTTTTAGTATTTATTTATTTATATAAAAAAATATTTATTAATTGATATAAAAAAAGAGTTGAATTCCAAAGTAAAATACAGAAGCTCTGTCAAAGAGTTTCAGTATTTATGTATTTATATATAAAAAATATTTATTAATTGATATAAAAAATAGTTCAATTCCAGAGTAAAATATCGAAACCTTGTCAAAGAGTTTCAGTATTTATTTATTAATTGATATAAAAAGAGTTTTTATCTATACTATTATTAAAAAATATTTATTAATTGATATAAAAAGAGTTTTTATCGATACTATTATTAGATGTGTAAAGAGTTTCAGTATTTATTTATTTATATTAAAAAATATTTATTAAATGATATGAAAAGAGTTTTTACAAAAAAAAAAAAAAATTAACCTATTTATCTATTTATTATTATCAAATTTTTTAAATTAGCTTTTATTATGAGTTTTTCATAAAATGAAATCTAATTAGACAAATATTATGATTATAGAAAATTATTTATTAATTAATATAAAAAGAGGTTTTCAAAGAGTTTTTATAAAACTCTAACACAAATCACCTATTTATCTATTTATTATGAGTTTTTTTAATAAAAAAGAAATCTAATTAGACTATAATTATCAAAATAAAAAATATTTATTAATTGATATAAAATGAGTTTTT